CGGTAGAGTGCGCACACGGCCAAGTTATTTAGCACCGCTGGGGGGATAACGCAGAGTACATGGAACACCCGTCGGTGACGCGGTCTAACCATTTACAGTCAACTTCAGCTGGGGTAAATATAATAATAATTGTAATAATACTGTCAGCGTACTTAGAAACATGCGCTGTTTGGCTTGAAACAATGTGGCTTTGAATCCTAATGTAGGACCAAACCAAATGGATTCCTCCATGAGCGGCACCGCGTCGGCATTGCGGCCATGGTGGAGGTAATATTCGGCGAGTTGGTTTAACAATCTCCAGTCGGATGGGTCTTGTCTAAGAGGATCGTTAAAACTGTGTAGGATAGAACTAGTGGTAGATAAGGTACTGTACAGGTACTAGGTACCCAAGAACTCCAGTGTAGATAAGTACTTTACATATACTAGTAAGCCATTAACTTGAAACTACACTGAATACGTAAAGCCCATGTAACGTTAGTGTATTCCATTGTGGATAACAGTACAAAGTGAATTTCCTGGTCCCATGAAATCGAATCTCGGTAACGTTAGCATAAATCGAGGCTTTTTGTTGGCTAATCCAACTTTGAGAGCGTTTGATTGAAAGGACAAGCATATTCAACCAATCATAATTTCTAGCGTGATTCAATGTCGAATAGAAACCACCTTCGAATTCTGGAGATTTACAGCGAATTCACAATATTACATAAATGTTTGGTTTTTCAAAATCCAAGCCTATTGTCGGCCACATATCACTCAAATGACTACCACTCAATATTCTCTTGTATACGACCATATACTAGTATATGTAAGATACGACAAGGATACAAATAATGCCAACGATCTCAAACCTAAAGCTCCTTGTAGCTCATCCTACTAGTACATATGTACGCAACCTAGTCAAACTCAAATCTATCGTAGCACACAAATGTCTCGAAATGATAAAAACCTCGTATAGTCCATATTTATATAATATAATATATATATGTATATATATGTACAGTACACTAGATATATATTACTATTGCATACATACATACATGTATGTATAGTGCATGAGATATACATATATACATGTATGTACATGATATATATATGCACTGTACATGATATATATATATATGTATGTACATGAGATATACATATATATATGTATGTACATGAGATATACATATATATATGTATGTACATGAGATATACATATATATATGTATGTACATGAGACTATGGAGCCACAGCGCCTCTTCGGACCGCCACGCTTGCAGTTGATTGGTGGAGAGGCTCCCCCACAACCCAAACACAGTCAAAGCCACAACCGTAGCCCATCTTTGTCCAACGCGATGCAACAGTAGGGCTTGCAGTGGTACACGTATGAACACCACCGTGGCAAAGTATGAATATCGATCTGCAGTTAGAGACACCATGCCGTGTTGAACGAGCCCAGATACTGGCAGCACCATCGTCAGCATGTACAGGGTAGAGGCTAGCAAAGTCCAGTTGGAAGCTGGGGTTGTTGCCAAGCCAGTGGTAAGTCCTACGGGAAACCGCGATTTTTCAAAACATGAAGTCGATACCTACTCGTATGACACGCACAGTGTAGAGACTTTGTGGTTTTTTCGAGCGATTACATCATATACCAACCGATACAATCATCATGCCTTGATGGCTATAGTTATAAAGTTGGGAGAATTTGGGCGTTAGCTTACCTGCGACCAAAGTTACGAGAACAATCAACACGGAGAATACAACGTTCGGGTTCGTGGGCAAGGTTAATGCTGTCGGATCGGGAATTTGATAATGGGGCCGAAGGTTCACGGGCCATAACCACGCTTGAATAGGCCACACACTGACGATAAATACCTTTGCCAGTCGCTCTACTTTACTCTGTAAGGTGATTTGCATCTCCAATAACGGGGAAGTTGTGACTTGCCCCAATCCATTGTTTATTCAAAAGGTCGTATATAAATTGGAGTAGCATATAATGCCGACGTACGGGGAATGGTAAGCGAAATGGTATCGACGTCAGTTCCAGCACCACGTTGGTTTGCGACGTATGTCGTGGCGACTAACGCCATGGACAATACCAAGCATACACTCATCTTGCGGAGGTACCTGCATATATAAAAATAATGGTTATGAGAGGTATAAATATGTATTTTAAAAACAATTGAGCATACGGCAAGAGATGCTTTGGAGGACAAAGCTGGAGGTGGCCTCGGACGAGATCAAGTAGGACGAGGCCCACGGGTGTGAAGAGGGCGATGCTTTTGCTCAGGACGGCGCATACATACGCCACTAGATGGGATTGAAAATGTCAAGAAAGAATAATTACGTGCGCACCAGTGCCAACGATCGACCATGGCTTGTGGAGATGGGCGAGGAACATGATGGATGTAAATAGCATGGCCAATGGATATGGCTGGGCAGATGGCCACATGAGAACTTCGATGTGCACCGGATGGATGGCAAAGAGGATGGCCGAGAGGCTGGCCGCAATGGCGACGGACGCGCGATCAGGAAATGATGGAGCGAGGAGCCGGTGGGTAGCACATCCCAAGATCCCGCATGCCGTCCAATGCACAAGTACCGACACCATACGAACGTACTTGGATTGCATCCCCACAAGTCCATGTACGAACGCTTTGAGCAGCCACGACAAGGGCTCGTACACGTTGATCTTGACCGTGGTTGCCATGGCGACGATGTTGGGCAGCGTCAGCGCTTGGATCATGGGATTCTCAACAAAGTTGGCGCCATCGTCAAACGAGTAAATGAATTCCCAGTCGCCATAGCACAGCGGTGCCACATGGATTGCCAAGCCAATGCCGGCGAGAACGCCCGGCAGCCATCGCCTACTCCTGTTCAGAAGACCCAGCATTTCATGTTGCGATCTTTAGGTCATATCCGGAACTATGGCCATTTATGCGGGAAAAGCGTATGATTGGCTTTTAAATTGACCAATCCGCAGCACCCAACCGACCGTTTCAAAAAATGATTGACAAGCAACCAAAGGTCTTGATTTGAACTGTGATGTTCGCGCGAGTAAGGATATCAACATATAACGTTATAAATGAAGCTAGACATGTAGATATCCATGTTGAGGAAATTCTAAGGTCGTACATTTACACTGTTAGAGCCGGTCTGGCAACCTCCGGATAACGCCATTTTGGGCCGTATTATGGAATTTAAACGCCATTTTTGAACCAGTTGCCATTTTGGCAACTTGATGTGGTGCGTCTGGCAAGATTTGAATAATAATATACCTAGTACCTAGTATATGTTATGCCATTTTGCCAAACAATTTCCATTTTCAAAAAAAGAGGTGGAGGGTTCTTTTTTGTAACTGCAACTCTATCCTCAGTTCGTTTCGCAACTCGATCGCCATGAGGATGCAAACAATCCTTGCAGGCTGTGCCGCGTGGTGGGCTGCCAACTACGTCATCAAGGAGGCATGCCATACTTCCGCTCTGAAGGGAGATGAATGGATCTCGGAACTACTCGGCAATCCTCGACGCTTCCGCAAACAGCTCCGCATGTTGCCAAGTACCTTCGTGTGGTACATCGTTACAAATCGCATGTTGAACGCGGACGTGACTTCTGCCCAGGTTTCCTTCTTGAATCCAGAATCTGAGCGCTTGCCCTTGATGACCTGAGCCTGCAGCGCAGCGACGAGAAACTCATCTCGCTCAGCCGTCCACGACGCCCGAGTTCCGTCCACGCTTGCCATGTTTCGCAGCTTTCACCTTGTGGTGTTCATTTTCGTTCACAGTGCTCGACAGCTTCGAGGGTGCTTTACGTGGGTTTGATCCCCGGCTTCCCCGGATTATTTCCGCAAGGATTTATCCGTCCCTCCCCTGGGGAATCCGGATAACAAGGGCCGCGACGAGGACCGAACTTCGAAGAAGATCGGTCGAAGCACGAGGTATGAAGCGTTGAGCGAAGTAAAAACCGAAGATTACACACCGCCCCTGGTCGAGCAGGCGCGTTACAATTGGCGAAGCGGTTCCATAACATGTGGTTCTAGTGTCGGCCCTCGCGGAGGAATGTCGTAAAAATGATAATCCAAACTCAATTAATCGAGGGTGCTTCTCAGAATTGTATCGATTATGAAGAGGTTTTCTGGGAGTTGTCATAGTTTAGACCAATGAAAACGTATTATACTGAATAATATCCAATAAATCGGTCATAATATATGTATACCCATTGGTCACAGGAGGGCCGATAATTAGATGGATAAATGTATAAATTTATAGGATGAAAATTCACTAGTTTTGAAACTTTGAAGCATCATTTTGGCAAGACTATAAACATTCGGGATTCGTTCAAAATAGTAAGTTGTAGAGTGGACCAACCGCTACATATGATATATTAAACTTTTCTGGCTAACATTTTTGTAACAAAAGTTATGCTCAAAGGCACCCTCGAAGTCAATTGTACTTCGAAGTACTTATTTCTACAGTTTTTATGCTCACTTGGATTTAGTATGAACTCGAGATATGTCAATTAAATTGTAGAGGCTCAACATTTGTGTCCTGTCTGGAAAAAATGGACTGCAACTCTGAATGAAATAGACAAAACCTGTTGTGGCATTTCGGGAAAAACTCAATCCGTCATTTTGGCAAAATGTCGATTTCGTTCAAGCTTTTTGCCAGACTGGCTCTTATTGAATTGTGAGCTGGCCACGGCAAGGAATGATACTGTATCAACATACCGTATAGCGTATATGTATTGCGACAGGTGATATATCACAACCAGCCGCCACTCGTTCTCAAAATTTTGTTAATCCATTGCGTCGTGTACAAATTTGAAGTATATTCAACATGTTCACAAGTAAATATCAGTTATTACAAGAAAATTATCAGTTATTACAGGAGTCGCAATAGATTACTGTTAATCCGTCGCAATATATATACACTATACGGTATAGCGAAGATAGAAGTGTTGATACCCATGTCGAGGAATGTAAAAAATTAAAAAAAGCGAAAAATCCGGTGCGTCCTTTCTAGCAAGCATGGTTGCGTTGGAGTCATTTGGTTCAAACTTCCGCTTTATTTAAATATGTGCCTACTCACACTCAAGTGGATCAACTTTTGTGGGGTCTTACTCGAACGTCTGATCGATTCCTTGCAAACCTAAACTGTTCTCAAAACTGAACAATCCAATTTACTGCTACGATTTATCACCCTATGCGACCAGGAGAAATTATTTATTCTTACTTGACACGATACAGAATAAAACATTCGTTCAGCCAGTCGGAATGAATAATTTATTGACAGTGACTAATTCAAAAATACTAGTAACCCCTGAAAATCGATGAATATCGAGTCTTCGCAGAGTGAATTGTATATTTATTTCTTAAGGCACATCTAAACTTGTCTGTCCTTGGCGTCCAGCGAATAATTAATTATTGGTCCATTCAGAATAAATAATTATATTTGAATAAATAAATAATTCTTGTCGAGAATATATTCTCCTGGTTGGTATACAACGTTAGGAATCAATCAATCATGGCCACGTCCACTCTCGACGCAATCTCCTCTACAATCCGGATCATTTTCATCCCATACTTCTATCATGGGGTATTTTTGCGAAGTAGTACTCGAAAACATTTTCACCATGTGACCTTAAGTCCGTTTTACGATTGGCCGTATGGTTGAACAGAGTGCAGCTGCACATTATAGTTTGTATTTCATCCGATTAATTGGGCGTATGTTAATTTTATACTCTTGGAGCGCCTTCCAGCTCCTTTGGAGGGAGACTCGTGACTGAATTTGGTGAAACAGGTCCGAACGAGCTTATCGCTGCGTCCGAGGGTTTTGCGATTCACCGAAGAGACTTCCCGACCTCCAAGTAGACCTTTATCTGGCCACGTTCCTCGTCGGTGATGTTTTTGCCGCGTGGCATCTCCAAATGTGACTGATGATGTCGACTTTGGTGCCTGTGAGTCCTTGGCAGTACCGTAATCAATTTGATTGTTATTGGGGCTTTTGATTGGCTAAAATAATGCCCTTTTCAGCCATCCGCATAAAGTGCGTCTATAATTACTCAGCCCAAAATTTGGAAAATTGAGATATATGTAGTATATGATTTCCATGGATCTGTTCAAGCAATCCACTTGAAGGATACTCTCTTATGGTCCTATGAGAGTAGGGGATCCTGCATTGGCAGCTTCATGTGAGAATGAATTGTCGAACTCGAACAATTTCAGGTGCGGCTATAATTACTGGTCGGATTTGTAGTACGTCCTCCATCCAATATGTTATTCAAGTTGCCTAACGCTGCCTCAACGTCTGGACGCCTTGCGCAATCACAACCGCCGCGCACTCGACGTCCTCGGGCGTTGTGTCCTTTCCCACAGTAAGGCGCAACGTGCCGAGAGCGAATTCCACCGGCACTTGCATCGCTTCCAGGACATGTGACACTGTTGTGGCGTGGCTATGGCAGGCCGACCCGGCGCTCGCGGCCACGCGGTCTTCAATCATGTGCAGCAATTCGTTGGCAGACACACCTTGGAAGCTGATGCTGAGGGTGTTTGGCAGTAACTTGGTCACGTCGGCGGGACCGTTCACCTTGACAGGGACAGTTGCCAGCAACGACGTCAACGAGGTCAAAAGTTGCCGGCGAAGTGACAGCAACGACTGGGATAATCCGGTGGCAAGACTGTGTTGGGCCAACTCACACGCCGTTCCCAGCGCCACGGCGAACGGAATATTTTCAGTTCCCGCGCGAAGATTCTGTTCGTGGGCAGCGCCATGCATGAACTTGACCAACGCGCGAGTGCCTGAAGAAAAGGTACAGCATAAAAATGTCATGTTCTATACACATGTAGGGGACAGGGATTTTATAGTTTTCGAAGGTTATATACCAAGTGCATAAAAATATATCCACGACACAGATATAAAATTGATATTATTTTTTTTTTTTGTGTGGGGGTGGGTATTGTGAAATTCGTTCCAATTCTCGGATTCGACCGGGACCAAACGATACTGATCGATGATTGGTTGAAATTTCTCGTTGATGAAGTTTGATTGGCTAGGATAATCTCATTTGTGCCAAGTCCAACTTTCAGCGTTTGTTCAGACAGCCGCAGCACTCAATGCATGCATGCATCCATGCTAAATACAATGCGACAATGCACGCCTTCATAGGATTTAACACATCAGCACCACCTATTTGGATGGCTCTAAATCGAGCTAAAACACATTCAAATATGATGAAAAAGTAAAAAAAAATCGTAGGTACCGAATCTACCATAACGTTATCACTTGGCTTGACAACACCTTGTCACATTCAGGTGTACCACTTGTCAAGAAAACAAATCAATCGGTACATAAAATATATGGGAAAATACCTGGTCGAATGTACAATGCGCCGACGCCTTTTGGGGCGTACACCTTGTGGCCGGCGATCGTGAGGAAGTCGACGCCCAAGACATCGACAAGCACGGGAAATTTCCCCACGGATTGGCTTGCGTCTGAGTGGATCAAGATGGGATCGTACTGAAGGTGGCCGTTGTCGCCTGTGGTACACAAAGCGGAGTGCTGCGCGCGGACAGCCGCGGAAATGGCGGCAAGGGGCTGGATGGACCCGACTTCGTTGTTGGCGTGCATGATGGTCACGAGGCACGTGGACGCGCGGACGGCGGCGGCGACGGCGGCGACCGACACGAGTCCTTCGGCGTCCACAGGGACGTAGGTGACCTCGAACCCATGCGCTTCCTCGAGAAATCGACAGGTGGCCAGCACCGCGACGTGCTCCACGACCGACGTGACGATGTGCCGTTGGTGTGGCTTGGACGACACCAGTCCCTTGAGCACGTAATTGATGGACTCGGTGCCTCCCGACAGGAAAAGGATCGAAGAGGCCGGTGCGCCGACGAGAGACCCAACTTGCGCACGCGCAGCGTCTAGCGCTGCCTTGGCCCGGCGACCGAGTTCGTGCGATGACGAAGGGTTGCCAAAGTTCGTCTCGAGGCACGGGACTAGCGCCTCCACGACTTCCTAATCGAGGACGTGTGGGGACTCACTCAAGTACATTGTAGGCCATGGAGAGAAGGGTACCTTTGCCACAGGAGTTGTGGCATTATGGTCTAGGTAGATCAGGTGGCTACCGCCTGCACGTATTGGCATGTTGATATTATTATCTGAGGCGTCATTTTTTAAACCAAGCATTTTAAGAATGTTTAAAATATTCTCCTGACCACAGAACGTACTTTTCTGGTTCGTATACAGAATGCGAAAAGGCTGTCCGTCCGGTTAACAAGGTAGTTGTATTGTACTCAGGAGTAAGTTACTACTGTATAAAGTTAGTGTAACGTTACCAGTATATGAATGATAGGGGATTTCTTGTTGTCCACTGGGCAAACTCTGCTCCCTGACGCTCTTACATATTGAAGCAAACAATTGACCCGCACAACATGATCATCGTTACACAGATCAAGCCCAGTGCACACATACAGTATAGTAAGCTTATCACCGAATTCACCTCACCTACCTCGAAAATGTACAGCCCAAATGGAAATATTCCCAGTGCAAAGTCAGGCAGTGATCGGTAAGCTTTAAAACCATGTGCTTTGTGGCGAATGTTCCTCACACATTGGAGTACCTTTCATCATACAACATTCCAGTCTATTCCTAGTTAGTACCCGCCGTATATCCATCCAAGTTGGTCGTCATCGCACACAGTAAGTTGTAAGCTTACTCCGGAGTACTTGCTATTAAAAAACGCATGATATCCTACACTATCTTGTCGTGTCCTTATCCAAGCATGTCATCGCCTTTACATCCAGTGCCGGCGGCAGTCGCCATCATTGGGCGACATCGTACTATCACCTACCATTTTCACAATTTCATCCGAGCCCAACATGAAGCTCCTGGTGCCTTTATTCACTCTGGCCCTGGTCGAGTCGATCCATGCTGCTAGCATCTGCAACGCCCTGACACCCAACTCCTGGACGCAAGCAGCCTCATCCAACCCAAAACTCCAAGGCGCCCTCAACGAACTCAGCAAGAATGCCGTTGCTACGTGGTACACGGACCGCGGGGGTGACGCCATCAGCGACCTCCTTCAAAAGTGCTCGGGTAGCCAAGTACCTTCCATTGTCATCTACGGCCTGCCCAACAAGGACTGCGCCGACGGATTCTCTAGTAGCGGCAACAACAAAGACGCAGCCATGTACAAAACGTGGGTGCAGAGCCTCGTTTCGCGCGTAGGCTCCAG